GTTACGCGGCTGTTACAAATGGACAAAAAAAATAATTGTAAACTTTTAGTTTATTGCGCAACAGGAGTACCAAGGCCCGGTCCGTTCTTTTTAAGTGATTGAAAAATATTTTCACATTCGTTTTGGTAAACAAGTTCTTTTATATCTCGAAAATCAACACTTTTGTCCGTACTATTAGAAAAACTCGGCACTCGTCAATTTTCAATAAAAAACAGCGAGCTGCAGAAAAAAGTTTGTTATTTAACTTCAACGACTACTTTTTTTTCATCCACTGCAGTTACGTACAAACATTGCTTTTATTTTTATCCCCCTCCTCTACAAGATCAATCTGGGAGTTATGAGAAAATTGATTTGGAAAAGAAAAAAAAAACTAAAGAAATGATCCATCGATGATCGAAAGGCGGTCCATCCTCAGGCACTTGTGAGCCATTAACAAGTTTCGAAATCTCCTGATTCAACGCTACCTCGATGCGATGCGTGCCCACTTGCTTTGATCGCACGACGTGCTCCCTCGACTGACGGATCGACGGTGAATTATTTGACGCAAGCGCGAGCGTCCGCTTGATAAGAGGAGCTCACTGGGGCGCGTCAAGCGTAATTATCTTATCTCACGGGTGACGCTAATGTTTCTTTCAAGACGAGAGCCATGTGTGTGTATATAATTATATACACGTAGCTATATACCTACGTAACAAGTGAATACATATACAATGTATTATATAAACCGTGGCTGTCTTCATGAGAATTCAGTTGATTGGCATCAGCAAAGCTGCGGGAGAGCCGAAGATTTATATCAACCACAACGAGCGTACATTTATTTGCCGGCAGCAGTAACGCCAGTTGAAAAAGTAAAAGGCCAGCGCAAGCCCCGGATACACAAACCTGGCACCATGAGAATCCCGACGTTACATTATGCTTTCCTCGTCATCGGCTATTTCCCTTCCTACTGTCTCTTATCGTGTTTGCATCGCCGCTACCTGCCTACGCGAACAGGAAACAGTCCTTAATCGTCTCCCATGAACTACCTATACCACCCCTGAGCTAGTTCTTAATGCTAAACTTGCGTGCAAAGGTGCTCTGTTAGTTGTACGGCTTTGCGAAAAAATCCTGCCACGATTTCATAATGGGTCATGAAGATACCGCACCTACATGTATATATAATCTCGTGATTACTTTTCAATTGTTTTGCCTCATATTTACCGCAAGAAATCCAAAAGGAGCTGTACTTTGGCGCGATGCCAACTTGAAAGATGAAACGGATGAAATGTCGTCCAGTAGACAAAGCCGTGCGGAAAATACCTGAGCGTTAATTGAATACCCGATCAAAGTCAAACGACATGTTGGATCCAAGTTTTAGAGGCATTCCGATTCAAGCCGCGATCTCCGATTCCAGGAAAAACGCAACCGATGCAGGGACCCACTCTGGGCTACTTCGAGGGGGAGAGAGTAAGAAGTGGCCCTTCGAGATTGAGCTACAATCAGAACCAAAGCCTATTGAAGCTGTACCTAGGTAGCTCCCACCCATCAACCCTACTTTACAACGGAGAGACAAAGACAAACGGGGCACAATATATAGCTCGCGAGAAGTAGCATTTCGTCGCTCGGGGCTGATGTGGATGGCGACAACGAGATTTAATCCTAGGGTGAAGAGAAAAAAAACGGGAGTTGGGGAGGTTATTGCTTTGTGCTCCTCCGGCTGTCTTCCTTTCTAGGGCCGACACCTAAGTAGTACCGATCCGACAATCAAATTTCAACAGAGTCTTTTGCCAGTACTTGTCCGATCGGTCACGCTTGTAAAGTCCCTCGCGAAATTGCCTGTTGGGATCATCCAAGCTCTGGCACGATTTCAATAGTACTTGGCCGGTAGATTAATTTGTCATTTGAGGGAAACAAATGAAACGGAGGGAAAAAAAAAAAAAGAAAAAAACAGCGAAGGACACGGAATTACCTTTCGGTATAAGGGAGCTCGAAAGATTGCCTCGTAGTGGAAAATCCGAGCTTCCGTGGGTAATTTGATCGAAATCAATCAATTTTGCGATTCATTCGTCCCCGTCGCCGCGACTTTTGTTACTCCCGCGATATACGAGAAGGCGCACAGCTAGCGAAATAAATTTTTATGACTCGTCTGCAGGCGAAGCCGATATCCTCGTGATTGACCTGTGGCTTTGGCCGGATCACGCGAGGTCTCGGCTTTACCTCTGTCTCGCGAGCTCACTCGTCCCTTTCGAGGGAAAGAGGAACGATCGTTTTCCCGGTGCTGCGTTGCTCCGAGTGAACGGTATACATATATATACGTGTGACTATCGAGTTGCGATCCGTATTAATGAAATTCCTGCCAAGACGTTCGCAATCACAGTGCTCTCTCGCGCTCTAAGTTATTAATGGAATGGCTGATCAGCACTATATGTATACTATACGTGGGAGTACATTACTATACCCAACGTTTTAATTAACAGCAAATAAAGCGATTGCTTTTTCTGTAAATCACATTTCAATTTCATTGTTCTCTTGCTTTATTCAATACAAGTAATAATACAAGTAACGCGCCAAACTCCTGTACGTGTGTTTCTGTGCCATTACAATTAAACGATCGCAATTTTCTCGACTATATAAGTACATTTTGGTCTCTGGAAAAAAAAAAAACGAAGCGAGCATACCTACCGTCCGAGGTTGTTTCTGCTCGCGATAAATGAAATTCTTCGTTGTAATAATCGTCCAGATGTTATAGGTAAAGCAGTGCAGTTCGAAAATTTAATTATACATTCGTATTTCGTATGCCCGCGAGTATGAAACCAATGTTCATTTAATTGGAAATTCTGCGTGAATTTTACGAGCAGCGTCACCAATAAAGGTGAAATGAAAATTCTTAAAACGAAAAGCTCTATTGCTCCCGACGACTGACTGTGCAACTCATCGCAACTATAGCTCACTCGGAACATAGTGAATGTGCAGAATTTTACATGTGAATAAACGCATCTGAAATCTCATTTTTCACTTTGATAGCCGTGATCGAGTTTGGATGTAACTGTCAATTAATTTTAATGTGTTTACTGCAGGTAATGCGACAGTAAATCTCGAACACGATCACAATTTATCGAAGATCCACATCAGACCCCTGGTCGTGTACGTAGAAAGGGTGAAAGAGTACATATGATATTTATTTAAAAAAGGAAAGTAGAAACAAATGAGCGAATCACTAATTCCGAAGCAGTGCTATTGGAGGAGAAAATAGGAGCTGACCAGTCTGTTGGGGTCAAATAATAATAACAGTGAGCGCTCGGGCGCGTGTGAGTATTTATACGTGACTGGTGCACGAGACATTTTTTCGATACGCCCGGCCAGTCGTCTCGCGTACACACGGTTACCTATACTGTTTTTTTTTTCTCCCCACCACAGTTTTCAGTGCGTATTTTTTTTTTTTATTTTTTTTTTATCACCCCAGTTTCGCTTCTTGGCTATCAGCCCTCCCCCGCCCCTTTATTTTTCTCTCGAGCGCTAGCACCGACGCTCAACGGGGAAAATTCATTAAAACGAGCGCCGACGTAACGGGGAAAACAAAAGATAATAGCCTGGCCTTGTCGGTTAATTATTGGAAGTAGCTAGTGGCGGAAGGGTTGGAGGAGGAGGGTTGCGAACGCCGCAAGTTAAACGCCTCCGCCGATCCACCCTCTACTCCCGCTGCTCTTCCGCGATGGCTTTTCTTCTAACTAAAACCCTCCACACGAGAGTTAAACTATTTTCAAAGCCAATTTCGAGAGGACGGCTGATTAAATTGAAATTTCAATCCAGGTGTGTGTTTGTGAGCCAAGCACCTACTCGAAATTTTCTAAGGATACTTATAAGGGGATGCGGCGACGAGGGTATATATGCTCGCTACTGTTTTATTTCTTTCGAGGGGAAAAAACGATCATCACAAGTTACAATTTTGTCTCACCCGTGTCGTGCAGCTTTTTGTCTTACAGGACGTCAGAAAGATTGTACCTGCGTCATTTTTTGAAGAAAGAAAGAAAAAAAAAAAAAATGATTGTGAGTAGGAACCAGAGAAGTAGTTCTGGTTTTTCAATATCGCGAGCTTCAAAAGGTAGAAAGAAGAGTACTAGAGCGAGGAGCGTATTAGGTACCTGTAGGGCGATCGTCCCAAAGCGATCAAAAACAGCTTTGCGAGAGCTTCATCTTTGGAAGGGTGACAGTTACGCCGGCACGAGAGGCGCCGGTGCGATAAGTATAAGCTCGCGAGTTCGAGTGCTCCCATAAATCTGGCCATATCGCACGCCACTCTCCAAATCCAAACTCGATTTTGGTGGCACACCATTTGTTTTATCTTTTTTTTTTTTTTTTTTTTCACTTTGAAAAATATTGTTCGTTTTCAAGTGTAATACTGTATCACATCTGGCGAAAGACAACAATTTTGTACTGTTGTAATTTCGAAATATAATACGAAAAATGTTTCAATGAAGGCAACAATACCTACCTGAGCGATTAATTGGTTTGTGAATTTTCGAATGAACAACAACAGTCTGTGTGTTTGTTTGAATTTAATTTTCGGCGAAACAAGGAGGAAGTGAAAAACCACTGAGTACTTATTATAATACCGCATAAGCTGGCTCATTCATATTACAGGAGTACTTATGCAGGGTAGTACTATCGACGGGAGTTTCTTTCAAAGTAAAGTTAACAAATGATATTTAAATCCCTGGTTTGCGTTTCAATAAAAAAAGAGTTTTAACAAATGGCACATGGATACCTACACAAGTGTAATTTTCTATGAGAACTCGTTAATATTGTAACGCGGCCATTTCATGGGCAAAAACGTGTAATTGACATTTTTGATGAGATTTTTTACTTCTTTTGTTGATCTACTCATCAAATATTTTCACATTTCATTAAGCTAAGAGTTTTTTTTGGATTTAAAAAATTATATTTTTATCAATTTTTAAAACCAAATAGTTTTAATTACTAAAGGACGGTGTAACGATTAATGGTGCATTTTATTCACTCACGTGTGATCTTTGAGTACTGCCTCGATTTTGTTCGTCGGTATTGACCAGACAAAAATGGAGCCATCGGAGGAACCAACAGCTGCGTACTGTCCGTCTGGGCTGAAAGTTGCTCTCGTCCAGTCACATCCAACTTTGAAACCGTCAGCACTGAAAATTGAGTTACATTGGAAAATTAAAAAAACATGTTTTGACCAGCTTGCCTCCGTATTAGTCAACTTACATGAACTTTACAATTTTATGAATACAATTCAAACTGATCGCAAGAATGTTTTTTTTTTTTTTTAGTTTTTAATTACAGTTGATAGAAAAGAGTCAATGTTGTGTTGTTGAGTAAAAACGCGGATCGATAAGATTGAAAAATTGTTGACAAAGAATTCGCACACGACAAAAAAGGCCATGGACGAGCATATAGTAATTAGTATGTTGCTCGATAAAAGTAGCGTCGCCTTTATTTGTTAAGCTCGAACCACACGAAAAAATTCCATTATGAAATTTTTAATTAAAACCTTTGATGTCTTCATTGTTTTCCTCACAAAGAGTCGGACGACACTTACATACGAGAGCTCGTGTTTGACGACCACCGTTCGCATCGCATGTACTTGTACGCTTTCTTGTTAAAAAAAATAGCTACTGCGCGTGCTTTAGTTGAATCCGTCATCGTTCAATTGACAAAGCTGGTCATCACATAGTTTGAAATTAATTCAACGCGTTACGTGACTTTAAAACGTTAAAATAAAAACATTGAATGCATGCTTTTAGATACCCATGTTGTTTAACACGAAAATCACCAATGGATATTTTTCTGTATTTCTTTCCAAATAATTTATTGAGTGCACTTATAAATTATGTACACCACTGACTTACCTAAATGATACCACGATCATTTTCATGCGCAGATCGAGAAGTTGTAACGTGTCGTCCCTGACGCAACTCAAAAGATAATTGGCATCTGTAAACAGACAAGCAACACACACCAATGGCTCATTAATTACCATTTTGTATTATTTCATTTTTTTTGTATGAGTCCACGTAACAACACGAGGGATTTTTATTTAAAAAGATGCACCACGCGCTCGGGGTTGCAATATTTCGCAGACAATGATTTTTCAAAGCTCACCTCTGGACAGGTCGAGAGAGGTGATTTTCCCTTGAAGCACAATGTCGTTTGACCCGGACTCCGTTCTCGTGTCCCAAAATCGTATTGTCTTGTCGAAATGACCGCTAATTATCGTCGAGCCCGAACCGTCCGAAGTAACGAGATCGTTGCAACTCGAGCCCGTGAACTTAGTCTCTATACCTGCGAAGCAATCCAAAACACAAGTCATGGGTGAAAAAAAAAAATAAATAAATAAGAATTAATGCGATCTCAGATAAAATAAACAAATATCATCATTTATAATGTAAACCGAGAAAATCGTAGATCGAGATGGATATCACTGTAGTTCAGGAGAGAGAAAGGACTATAACATTATGCCAACGGAATACCAAATTTTTTTTTCACCTACAGGCCTCTTTTCGAGCGTTTCGGAAAAGACGGCCTTTTCTCAAACAGCGTTGCGACAGATCCGATCGATCTAAGCGCCGCGGGTGATATGCGTAAACATCAACCGACGCCGATTGCGCGCATTCCTACCGGTGCTCGAAACAACGGTACACCGCAGCAGGTAATTTGTTGTTCGGATATTGGGTCCGAGGAGTTTAGACCACCACGAGCGCCCGGACCATCATATATAGCATCCACGCAAGTCGAGTAGAAGGCCGTGCGCCATGTAGGCGTGCAGGACGGGTAAGCAGTTGGTCAGGCGCGCTTTAGTCGCGTACCGGTCAACGACGATGTCACGCGGAAAATCTTCCATAACACGAGCACACGATCAACAGTACAATGCAGAGCTTCCGCGCGTGAAAATGTAAGAAAACTTACTTAAGCCTCGTGACAAGCCACGTCTGCGATGGCTCTCGAAAATCAAGTACTAGATTAATTTTACAATTTTCCGTCACGACAAGCGCTGAAATAATCAATGTTAACAGTGTGATATGATAGCATGTATGGGGAAAATAAAATTTAGTATAAGTATTATACAGAGAGATAAAGAGCGCGAGCAACCCGGAAACCGAAGGCTCTCGTAAGGCGGGCAAATTACGAGACTCGGGCCGTACAAACGCCAGTATTTTGCGCGATCGCGTTGTAAAGATTCGCGTAGCCAATGGCTAGTTGGCCCTTGGTTGCATGTACTTTGTTAAATCAAAGAAAGAGCGGATCGAGGAAAAGCAAGGGAACTTCCTCGGGAGGAACGGGAGGTTGCGAAAAGGAAACCCATGAAATACGCACACACACACACACACACACACACACACGTATAAAAGAGACCAAGTGCGAAGGAATATTTGTTTCGTCATTCGCAGTCCATTGAGCTTTGTGCAAGTATATGTTCTCCTGCAACGCGTCGCCTTTCCCGGCTATCTAATCTGCCACGTGGCCGTTATTATACTACACAACGTGTGCGCTCTTCACCTCAGAGACCCATTTTCAAGGAGCGAGGGGCATTATGCAAGTGCGCGCATAAAACTCGACTCCCCTTATCGCTCCTGTCGATGAAGCCGTTGTCACTTAAACTTTCTTTTTACACTCTTTTATTATCTTTTTCTCCCGGTGCGCAAAAGTATACGTATTTCTCCCCAACCGAGCAAACGAGAGATCGGCTTGCCGATAGTTTTATACGGCTTTTCGATTTCATACATATACGCGCTCTCTTTTCTCCAACCTCTCAAACTTTTTCATTTAGCGCAACGTACGTATACGATACTCCAGCAGCTCAAACTTGTTATTCTCGAGTGATCTCTGCCTTTGACGATCTTGATTACGGATGATAAAGTATATAATATACATACGCGCTTATAAGCCCGACATCCCTGATATCAACGCGCGTTTGTAGTTTAGCGTCGTGCCAACGTACATTCTCGAGTTTGTTGGCTCGATGTTATCTGTCGGGCTAATAATTTATCCCGAGATCGGTCAAAATCGTTTTTCACAAAACGACGATCGTTTTCGTACGACGTGATGTAGCGTCGTGTCTCGACGCGCTCGATATATCGAAGGCAAAACATTAATGTTTCAAGAGCCGCCTCGGGGTTATTGCAGGATCTAATATTACAACGTATATATACGTTACACGCCAAGGGCGTTCATGCGAAGAATGTCCTTGATCTCGACACTACAAACGTATGTGATTTGTTCACCTCCACCTTCGATACGTAATTACATAATTGTATACACCTTCTCCGCGCTGTAAAGTACTTATATCGGGCGAGTGGTGACGATGTAAAATTACTTAGAGTCGGTGTAAGAGAGCAAATTACTGCTTTTTTTTTTACACAAGGTACAGATGTTAGGCAAAATCAAAAGGGAGGAGGGGGACCAACCGCGAAAAATCGACACATCGCGCGTACTTGTACAATCAGCGGTAAGGAGCATGTCCTTCATTTTGTGTTTGTCATTGTTCAAAGTAATTTTGTTTATTCCGTGGGAAAATGGTCGAGCAACGAGGCAAGGGGGAAGAAAAAGGGGGGGCGGAGAAAAATGGCAGTAGCTTCGACGTCGACGGCTGTATGCGGATGAGCAGCTTGTCACTTAGCCGCGCTCTCGGCCACATAATATATATACGTGGGTGTACATATACATATTCAAGTCGCGTCATCGGGAATTGGATGCGAGCGAGTACGGAGGGGTAAGATAGGGGGAGGCATCGAGATCGATTTCAATTATTCACGTGGTACCGTTACGAAATTCAATTGATCCCAGGACTGTGCCGTATATATATATGCGTGTACTCGAGTACGGGCATCCTCTTAAAATAGGTATACACACGCGGGTCGTACGTATACATGTATTTACGTGTGGATGTACGATATTGCTAAAAAAGCGAAGGGGGAAAAAGAGGACTCTGTTTGGCAATATAATTTTTCACAAGCAGGAAGCGTCTTTCTGACTCTGTTAGGAATGTCAGGGACTCGACGATGTATGAAAAGGCGGCGCTTGAATTTTGTCGTGCCACGGAAAATATATTGGGCTGGTAGGGATCAATAAATAGACTTCTGTTAATTATCTCTCTCTCTTTTTTTTCGGCTCGCGTTGTCTACGATGGTAAGGAGACAAAAGAATCCGCAAATCGAAGTAACCCAACGGCATCGGCAGGCAAACTAAAACCAAGTCCGGGTGATGGCTGTTTTCAATTAAAGTTTGTCAAATCGAGCACAAAGGAGAACGAGAAGGAATGCATAAGACGTTGAACGAAATATCCAAATGACTTTTGCCTTCTGCTCCCCTTGTTTTGCTCCCTTTCGCCCCGAATTACGTATATATACACCGCAAAGAGGATTGGTATACTTAATTGAGTTTCGTCGTAGGCAGTTGAAGGGGAACAAAGAAGAGAGAGAGAGAAAAAAAAAGAATCAGACCATCCAATCTTTGGAACTAATTACTTGTTCAGCATGGGCCGGTGGGTGTGGTAAGTTACCTGCCAAAAATTCGATTCAGAGCGCGACCTAAAACCTCTACTCCGCCAACGACTTTTCACGGGCAGGGGGATCTGAAAAACTCACAACTCGCTCGGTACGGGAGAGTATATAGTCATCTATTCGTATCCATATAGTTATGATGACTCCACGAATAATAATTCGATCACGACCCGTCGACGACGAGGCGATTCAACACCGCGTTATTGTACTCTTCGCTCCTTTGTTGCTTTTTACTTTTATTTTTCTTCAGCTTCTGCGCAGAAAAATCACAGCGCACACGGAGGCTTTTGTACCGTCTTTCTCTTTGGTTTCTCTACTCAGAAATCATTTGAGCAGTTAAAATTTTTACTGCGAAGGAATAGCATTTCCCTTGCAGTTTTGTGTCCATTTCTAGGGTGAGGCAATTAAGGTATATATACGCACAGTGGCCCGTGAAAGTGCGTACTTCTCCAACTACTATTTTACTGGAGCAATGATATATACACCACCCCCAACTTGTAAATTTGTATTAACTGTTGTCTCTGATGTACGTGTATTCGCTAAACCCCGAACGAAACGCCAAGTAATTATTTCATTTGCACTCGAGTTTTATATTACGTGCAGTACTAAATTTTATTACATTACCATTCAAATTATTCCATTTTTATTTTTTTCATTTGAAATTTCGTCAGCATATTTTTGAATAAGTTTGTTTTGTTGATTAAAGTTTTGATTATCATAGGTTAGTAGTTTTTTTTTTTTTTTTTTTTTTTTTTTTTTTTTTTTTTTTTTTTTTTTTTTTTTTTTTTTTTTTTTTTTTACCTCACATATAACTTAATAACTTTTAAAAAAACTTGCAAGAAACTTGAATAATCTGTACTATTTCTGTAAAATTTTTTGAATTTGAATCGTTTAGTAATTCTCGAGGACCAGTACCTAACCTGTATAACAACATTAAACATGAATTTTCACGCATTTACCAAATTTATATGCCTTTTTATTGAATCAAAAATTATTTTTAAGGATTAATTTAGATAGCTAGTAAAGTCATTATTAGAAAGACAATCACTTCTTGCTTAAAAAATAATCAGCAGATAGAAAGTTTTCGGAGGACAAAACTTCTGTACTAAACTTATAAATCTCCGATAGCTCCGTAAAGATTTTGGAGAAGCAGATTTGTCGATATTTCCTCGTCGACCTCAAAGTTTTGCTTCTGCAGGTTTATCTTGTTTTTAAACCTATAACTCATTGCCATTTCTCTGAGCGTTTGTCACGGTGATAAGAGACGTTCTATATCTCTGTGACAAATTGTGACGAGTTTTTTTAAATGTCCATCGAATAAAATCGAATAAAAAATCAAAGGCAGTTTACAAGTACACTATGCATTATAATTATTATTCTTTTTTTAAAAATTTTTTATTCATAAAAATAGGTACTGCCCAAGTATTTTAAACTATATTTTATAATTTAATCAACTTAATAACATTGAAAACGTGCATCCACTTGAACGTAATAAATTAAAAGTAAATTTTTCGAAGTTGATGAATAATATTGTAATCAGCTTTTATGAAACATATAGCGATCGGCCACACTAATGAATCGCAACGAAGATTTTTCATCAACAGGGTCTCTTAATTATTGTTTGCGTTTGTTTAAAAGTCAAGAGCAATGTATACTGGCATGCATCGGACAATTTCGCAAAAATAACGAAACTACGATAACAATATGACCCTATACTTTGCATGCAGTAGGACTTGAAACACGCGAGCAATAAGTGCAAAGTTCAATTAATCATGCCGTCAAGTGCTACGAGTGTTATGATATCAGCAACACCACTGCTACAGCAAACTGCATAAAAAACACGTATACATATGAATGACGTAGATGCAAATTTCGTTGGCATTTACATTATTATCTTGAAATATTCAAGCTCCCCGGACTGGTGGAGGAAAGAGGTGCCTAATTATTCAGCGATTAATGAGAGTAATGTGGAAATGTAATTGTATAAGAGATAGAGAGAGAATAAAAGCACAACGGTACTCGTGGAGCAAAGCTTGTACATGTATTTTGTTCGTCTAATGATATTTCGGTCGCCCGAGAGGGCAACTGGCCAAATTAGCGTCGTCCCTGCACAGAAAGAGAAAGAGTCATAGCAGCGGGAGGGAGTGCAACACGATGACGCGTAATTGCGAACAATTATCGTAACAATTGCGCCCACATATGTACGAGCATGCTCGTTTCGACGACTTTCACGATTCCAGATAACGCGATGCTTTTGTACCATGTGTTGTTTTTAGGGCCTTTTAACACGCTATCAACGGATTATTTGTCGTCGTTAGTTATTTCGTTGATTTATCCTTGTATAAATGCTAATTAGTCTTTTACACAAATTTTACTTCAACCATCGATATAAGAATACCAGTTGAAGCTAGTCCTTTTTAAAACACCATATTGTCAGGCATGAAAGGTCTACAGCAGCGTATTGGATTTTTGTGACAGTGAAATTAACCATTATTCAGTAAAATAAAACTATTGAAAAAAAATATTAACAAAAAAAAATTTTTTTCCAATTAAAGAATGACGATATTAAGGAAGCTAATTATGAAACAAAGTGATCTCAATTGGACGGCAGTGATTCAATTTAGTCACAATAAAACAAGGTTGAAAAATTATTCGACGGACTGAATAGTCATATTATGGGTGACATCCCCATATTATACTGTGGTGAAAATGTGAGACATTCCTAAGCAATGGTCCCACCCACCTTGAAATAAAAGAAAGAAAGAGAGAACATAGTGTAAGTGAAAGTGATGTAATGTAAAACTCACATGCCCGGCTACGAAGATCCCAGATCTTGAGAGTGCGATCGTGACTTCCGGTGACCACCTTCGACGGCTCACCTAAGAACTTGGCTGCCATCACCTTCGCACAATGACCCGTTAAAGTGTGCTGCAACAAAGATAAAACACGCCCGCAAAGGTTATACTTTTTTTTATATCTTAACTTTCTTTAGCACATTTCTTTGTTTTTTTTTTTTTTTATAATGAGAAGTATTCGAATTTCGCACTTTGTCGTGCACAACGTAAATATAACAACAAACCAATTCACTTAGTACAAAAATAAAAAATCATTGTGCTTTATTGAACATTTTTTTTTAATTTTCTGTATTAAATATTTGGGTACTATAGAAATTGTTAGTTGTAAGAAAAATTCAATAACTCATCTTTTTTAAATTTAAATTCGGTTTTAATCCAGTATAAATATACCTACTTGTTCTACTGTTTCCACATTTTTGGAAATTTTTGCTGCAGAAATGATAAATTTCTCAAATTATGTGAGCCCCTCAGTTTTAAAATTAAGAATTCACCAAATTTAAAAAAACAGGCGTTCTTTACAAACACCAAGAGCATTTTTTGCCTTTTGGTGATAATTTTTCGAAGGCAAGGTCGAGGTAAATCGTAAAACTTTAAAAAACTCTAAAAAAGCTCAATCAATTGATATTCATGGATTTCCTGAATGTTTCGAGAGGCATGTGAAAAATAAAAACCTTCATCCGAAAGATGTGCTTAAAGAATTTTTTATTGCTTTATTTTGGAGGGGTGCTTATTGGAATCTCAATGTGGAATTGCACATACTTTCTCGAGAAACCATCTTTAAACCCACTACGATTGCTTATATTAATGCATGTAAATACACGAGCGACATATTAGCAGAAATTTTTTCAAACGTAGTTAATACCACTGCCTATGATATATTCAAGTATCCAACTAATTTTGCTCACATAAATTATAGAAGTGAATAAATCATTGGCAGTGCATGCGAACACGTTTATAAATAATTTATTAACCTTTCGAGTTCATTAATAATCGGCTGATATGGTCGAGAATTTAACGACTTTTCGATAATACGAGAAAAAGAAAGAAAATGCAAAAGAAAAATTGATGCCGACTACCGCTCGCAGGATATCCTCCAACCATTCACATTGTCATTGACGACTTTAGTGCATATACATACATGCACGAGTGTGGCTCGACTATGTGCAACTCTTCACGAGTGCAGTAATGGTACTGAAACGGCGCCCAGCTTATACATTTTGTAAATGTATATGTAAATGTGTGGGATGTGCAAACACACACACGCGCACACACACGGCATGTATACGCTTATTGATAGCGCAGGGCACAGTGGGTGGTGGCTATCGCGCGTCCTCGTTATTAATGCTCAGCGCGCCCAGAACTCAAGAGCGCTCTAACAGCACTTCATAATAAAGTTGTTGCACCGAGATATACACATATATA